GAATAATAAAAAAAATAATCGTATAAATGATCTATTTCATTATTCCTCAAACTTTAAAATCAACAATTACAGTTATACTTAGTAGGAAAATATGCGAAATATCAATTTATATACACGAAAAATACTTACATTATTCGATCGGTGCACGTGGCAAGATAATTAAATATGTATCTTGTTTATCCCACTTCTGAACTGTTGTACCATTTCAAGATCAGGTAGAAAATATAAGGGTTGATTCCAACTATTATACTTTATTTCACTTTCTACAATACTATCTCGAGTCCAGGTAGGAAACAAACGGTAGATTCAAACTATTACCCTTTGGTTCACTTTACAATTTAAACTTATACAAAATTCAACTTCACTTCACGTCTTACTGCGACGATTCGCCTTGAGCTAATGCCACTCTCCATTTTACTAATCAACCTTTAGCACTTGTTAGCAAGGTGGGGCGGCGTCATTTCCGCCCCACTCTTTTACAGCAATCAAAACATTATCCTTCCGGTTACATTATATTACTCTATCCATTATCCGCAATCATTAATGTAAGTAACTAATAATTATTATAATATAAAGTCAAATCACTTATCGAGTAATTCCGTTATAAACAATAATATAGTGGTTATTAATCTAACAATAGCAATTATTAACCTAACACATATCAGCAATTGCATAGCTTCGGTGGCTTTGAAGAAAGCCGTTTGGGTTTGTTTAAGCGAAAGAAAAAAATATTTACATCCAATACAATACATGAACAAAAGTAAAACACGAACAAAGTACAAACAAACTATGTACAAAATTAAAAAAAATTATTTACATTCTAATGGATAAGAGATAAGATAAGATAAGTGGAATCGTCTCGCTTTCTTATGGATTTAATTAAAACCACGTAAAATGTTGGTGAACGTTTTAATTTTACCAATAACTGTTTTAATTGCGATAATTGATAAGTCTGAAATACATTCTTAACCTTGTGTATTATCTCAACAAAGTTTAAAGATCTCTCCGATTATCACTTTAACACACTTCAATTTATCACAAGGAACACTATTATCCTCCATTTTCATTAAAAATCTTTAAAAAAGCATAAATTTTGAACTCGTAATATTAAATCGCTTAAGATAAGCACACAGAGTAAATAAAAATTGAAACGTGAAATGAGCTTGCAAACGTATTGCCTCCGCTTTTAACAAGTTTATTCCCAAAAGTCTGGCTTTAAATCTCTATACTAATTGCTATATATACAATCGTAGTTATATTTTATTATAGAATATTTTGCCATAGGTTAGAAAGAGAGCGATCGTCTTCTCGAAAGCCCCGTAAAAAGCCCACGCGAGCGAGGGAGACAACTATTAGCTCTATTAAAACTCATTTTTTATGACAGCAGCAGTATTGCTAAGGCAATACGAGGTCATCGGTCGACATGTGTCGAACAGTGGAGTGCGCGGGAAATTTGAAATAGCTTGAAACACTTTACGAGTTATTTTATTAGTTGATACTATTGATTGATATTATTGATTGATTCAGGTTTTATAAGGCAAGCCCGGCTTTTCGGCTTTAATGGAAACTTCGCCACTGCAGATAGTGTACAGTGGGATACGGCTTGAGGCGCAGCGCGTCCCGCGCATGGTTTAAACCGGTTTATACTGGTTTTTAAAACCGCTACCGTATCGTTAGCAGATAGACGTGTAATTTTTTGTGGTTGTATTCGAATTTTTAGTGAAATGGCTCCTACTGTAAGTAAATTGACTAAACGACCATTAAGCAACCAAACAAAAGAAATTTTATACAAATTGAATACGTATTTCAAAGATTTAAACGACAAGGATCTGTCAAGTGTCGTTACGTCGGCCCAATCGTTTTATTAGAAAGGTAAATGTGCTTTGGAAGATGGAAGCAAATTTAAATCTCCGAAAAAAACAAGATGCAGGAAAATATCATTGTGATCGATGATTTTGATAAAGCGGTAATTCGGAGAATACTTCATAACTTTCACATCACCGACAAACAGGTTCTCACTATGAAAATATTACACGAAAAGTTAAAGGCAGAAATAAATTTTCCAGGTGCAATTACGTCATTAAGAAAAGAAGTATCTCTATTAGGATTCAAGTGGAAAAGGACAGAAGATAATCGCAGAATCCTTATGGAGAAACATGAAATACGATATCTTCGAATAATGTTTCTCATTAAAATTGTCGTATATCGCGCTCAGGGCCGCCCAATCGTTTATACTGACGAAACATATATAGACACGTCTCACACTTCGTCGAAATCTTATTCAGATGGAAGCACCTTTGGTTTAAAGAAATCAATTTCTAAGGGAAATCGGTTAATAATAGTTCATACCGGCGGAGAGGACGGTTTTCCCTACTCATGTTCAAGGCAAAACAAAAAAGTGGTGACTATCATTATAATATGAACACCGAGAATTACACAAAACCGAATAGTGTTGTGGTGGTTGACAATTCATCATACCACAATTCGTATCAAAATCCCGCGCCCAATTCAAACCATCGTAAACAAGCTGTGATTGATTGGCTCAAATATCGAAATATCGATCACTCTGGATCGATGCTTAAACCACAACTTTATCAGTTGATACTGCAAAACAAAGCAAGATTTGTTGAATATAAAATTGATAATTTGCTCCAAGAACATGGTCACAGCGTTCTACGTCTACCACCTTACCACCCTGATTTCAATCCTATTGAAAATATATGGGCAATGGTAAAAGGATACGTAGCTAAAAAAACGTGTCTATGAATATGGACACTATAATGAGATTAACAAAGGAAAAAGTTGACGCGATCACTGTACAAGAGTGGAAAAATGTTTGTGACCATGCAGTTAAGGAAGAAAAAGCATTTGATGGTCGAGACGCCGCTATCGACGGTTTATCGGAGCGATTCATTATTAACACAAGCTCTGATGATTCATCAGACGAGAATGAAGATGAAGATGCAATGAGCGGAGAAGAAGAGTTATAATATTGTTATGTAGTTTATTACTGTTACTATAATTTAGCATAATCAAAATATCAGCATTAACTTTTAATAAAACATAGATTTTTATCTAACTGTACTTTGGCGATCACTCACACAAATGCAAAGCTCAGCTTACGCCGCGAGGACTGTACTCTCGCGTGCTTTAATCTTATACAAAATGTTATTTTTGGACTCGATGATAAACAGCGTACTACTGCACTTTTCTTCGATATGTCTAAGGCGTTCGATTTTGTAGTTCACAATGTTCTGTTTGATAAACTGCAAAAGTGTGATATCAGAGGTCTTTCCCACTATTGGCTTAAAACATATCTAGTAAATAGAATCCAGTGTGTAGAAAAATAATAGGATAAGCGAGGGTAATACGACTACATCCTTTCATTCAAATTATAAAATAAATAAGTTTGGAGTACCACAAGGTAGCCTTTTAGGTTCTATATTATTCTTATCTTTAGTAGTGATTAAACATCAATACATAATGTTTGCTGATGTCATTTCCATTATTGTTAAATTCAATTATCGTGACAATTTAAGTAAATATGAAAATGACATTAATAACACAATTAATAATATAGTTCAATATCTTTAAACAATCTAAATGTGAATCTTGAAAATCTCTTCCAATGCAGCGGTAAAGAGTTTCGGCGATATTACGTCACCCTGTCTTATACCTCTCTGCAGTTGGATGGGTTTCGTACTCTGTACAATTAGTAGTCCTAATGTACAAACACTTCAGCACATTGATATACCAGCAGCCAACTTGATACCGCTAATGGGACCGCCGATGTGGCACCGCCCAAATTTCGACGAAATGAAAGGCTTTCTCATAGTTCACTTACGCAATGCAAAGTGGTAGATTCGCTCTTCTGTACAATTTGCCGTAGGGTATTTATGTGGTCTATGGTAATATCTATAAGCCGTCGAGTCTGCGTGCGGAATGGTTCGTAATGACTCTCCAAAACAGCACGTAGACGCAGGCTCAGAAGCAAAACGGTGGGTAGTTCTACAAAGCAACAAAGCTTTGTCGCCTTTCTTGAAGAACAAGACCACCGCACTTTTGCTCCTTGCCCCCGGAGTAGTGCCACCATGGAGGACAGAATTAAATAGCTTCTGAAGGACTTCAAGTATTGGTTTTCCACTCATTTTCATAAGCTCCGCTGTAATTCCATCCTCGCTCAGGGCCTTGCCGTTTTTGAAGTGCTGGAGAACCATTCTAATTTTGCTCAGACTGACGTCCGGAATATCTTCGGTATAATACTAATCAAGTAATAATAATCAAGAAGGTGCTTCTGCCTATCTCCTGATTGAATTTCTCTCTGTCACCTATTAAGACAACGTCGTGAGAATGTCCCATATTATTCCGTATTTGTGATAGTCTAACACCGTCGTTACACGGTTTTGACAAGGTGCTGTTCTTTGCCCTGTGCGAGTAACGAGATATTGCAGTGTTGCAGATTTTTTAAGGTCATTTACTAAGTATCCGTTTTCTATAATTTACGCGAACACTACACATTGAATAAAACTATTTATATGGCTTTTATCGCGTTTAATTAAATTGTTTTTAATTCCTGACGTTTCGGGTGTTTAACAGCATTCATGGTCACGGGGGGGGGGGAGCAGAGATGTTTGACGTCCCAATGTGATAGTTAGCCCGGCTACCTTCAGTTTTTGAATATTAATTTTTGGTCCGATCTACGCAGAACGAGCTTACAGTATCTTGAAGTCTTGCAGCTTGGGTTTGGATTTAATTTTGTACACAAAATTTTTAATTTTTCCATTTGCATTATTTATTTCAAGAAAGGAAACAAAAATATAAACTAAGCTTTTTTATTCCGTGGATTGAATTGTTAACTAACTACAAATGTGAAACTCTGGAGGTTTATACTGTTACATCTTATCGAAAGGCCACTGCTGTATTATATAATGGAACAATGAAATGTTAATAGATACATTAAATGTTACCTCTCCGATTTTAATGCATTTATTTTGTTACAGTTTTCGGACGAATACGGAGCGGTTAGCAAGTATGTCCCCTGCAGCAAGAAAACTGGCCGCAAAACACCTTTTGTCACCCAGACTGAAGCTTACACCAAATGACATGGGTATTTTAGCGCACGGCACTACTCCGAAACGAACTTCAACACCGCGAAAGAGGCCTCTCGTGGCAACACCGAATATGAGTAAACAGGCGGCAACACCGTCGCAATCATTGAATGCCGAAGCTGGTTCAAATGCTACCGGAGATAATACGCTCACAGATAATCTGCTGCAGATTAATGTTGCAAAACGGACGAGATTAAAAGCGCAAGATTTTTTTACCAGCTAGTACTCAATCTATGATTATAACTCATTAAATTATTCTAAGTTAAGACTTAAGTTTGTTTTTTTAATTTAATAACAAACAATTTCTTTCTTCTTCTGTAATGAACGTTCTTGTAACTGGCAAAAGTACAACAGTACGAGTTGTACTGTCATACTTTTGCCAGTGACAATTAATACATTTATTTTTGTTTAAAAATAAATGTATTGATAAATGGCCGTTGTAGTCCTTGGATAAAAGTTACAGCCTATATACGTCCCACTGCTGGGCACAGGCCTCCCCTCATTTCTGAGAGGGTTTTAGGGCAAGGAAGTGTTCGCCGCGCTGCCTCAATATGTGCTGGCGAACTTATTAATATATTTTTCTTATTTCTCTGACATGCAGGTTTCCTCACGATGTTTTCCTTCACCGCCGAGCACGTGGTAAATCAGCATTTAAAATTGCAATTAACAATTTCATTGGTGCTGGCGGGGATCGAACCCGGTTTGCTCGTGTACTGTGAAATTAACAGCGAGCGCTAACCATCTGAGCTACCACGGCTTATATTTTATATATATATATATATATATATATATTTAGGTTTATATTATAAGTACAGCATATACTTTCATATGCATTCAGTAAAAAGCTGTTATTTTGATGTTACAAACGGACACTTCAATTTCGTTTATTTGTATAGATTATACTTAAACATCCGGAACACGATCAGTACCAATGAAATTGAAACTAAACGTGCGGATTTACTGTGCGTTTCTTCTGTATCGGCTTCCTCACGATGTTTTCCTTCACCGCCGAGCACGTGGTAAATCAGCACTTAAAATTACAATTAACAATTTCATTGGTGCCGGCGGGGATCGGGCCCGGGTTACTCGCGTTCTGTTATATTTACAGCTAGCATTAACCAATCTGAGCTACCACAGCTCTTCAATTCGTTGAAGAGCCGAGAAAAGAGTCGTTGAAGAGCATAAATAAATTTGCTCGACCGGCGAAGTATCATGTTTTACATAATACCAGCGTAAAATAGCAGCTAAATGTCTGTGTTTCGTATGGTGAGTGTGACGAGTGAACCACAGAATCCTATTAGTGGTAACGACACATTATATCTTAGTGCTTAAAGGTGACACAGCCTCTATTTTTTGATATTTTGATTATTTGTCAAGTATACAACATCCACTCGTTCGCCACCCTTATTCTATTAGAAAAGATATTACTTGCAGAATAGGTTAATGCTAGCTGTAAAGAAGTCCTTGGATACTGAACGAGAATTGTTTGACTTGTACTCTCTCGTTTCCAGCATCAGTCGCCACCCCTTCATTTTCGAGGTAACACGCATTCGAACCAAACGGTTAACTTTGTCGTTCGTAATGTGAAGGAGTTAAATAATTTACCATCGTCTCTTTCCATCTAATTTTAATGTGGGTATCTTCAAGGCTGGGTATGCTTTTGTTAAGCTAAGCCAATGCGCTTTATCAGTTGCGTCACGAACGCGCGATCGACAGGTTGCACACGAGATTAAAAATGGATGCATTGAAGTGTAAAGAGTGCAATATTATAATATTGCAATAAACGAAGCGCTATCATACTTGCAGAATAAGTTAGAGGTGTTAACTGAAGATCAAATTGTGAGAATATGTTCACAACGGGGTTTTCTGTGGAAGATATTGAGAAGGCGAAAATTTAATTATTTTCTTCGGTGGCATCGTCATCAACGAGTCGACGTGTGAGAAAGGGCTCCGCAATTATGACATATGAAGGCAGTGGCACTACTAGCAAAAAAGGAAACTGTAGTCGGGTGGAATAAATATGTAAATGATGCTCATAGGAAATCCAGGATACAATTTTATAATTGGTTACAATGTGGCAAACCTAAAGGGGGTATTGTGTATGATCGAATGTGTGAGAGCAGACGTCGATTTAAATCTAAGTTAAAATGGTGCCAGAATCGGGAAGAACAAATTAAAATGGACATAATAGCTTCTCTACATTGTAATAAGGACCGCAAAAATTTTGGAAATCCACAAATAAATTAAATCTGCGGCCTGGTCTTCCTGTGAGCATTGGTAACACTAATGATAAAAAAGAGATTGTTGAAAATTTTAGGCAATATTTTAATGTTGACTCTCCTTTAGGACCCATAAATGGTAAAACCGACACGGAGGTCCGCTCTGACACAAACCCGGTTCGCTTCACAGCTAAACAGGTGGGCGCAGTGATTATGAACATGAAAAGGGGGAGTCTCCTGGGTATGAGCATCCATTGAGCATATGCAACATGCTGGTGGTCATCTTCCTACTGTGTTGGGTTTGTTCTTTTCACTGTGCCTACGACATAGATATCTACTTAATAATATAATAAGGACTATTATTGTTCCAATTCTAAAAAATAAAACGGGGGCATCTCGGACATAACCAACTATAGACCTATATAATTGGCTACAGTATTAGCAAAAGTACTGGACGGTCTACTTGATGCGTATTTAAGAAAACATTTGCAGCTACACGATGTTCAATTTGGTTTCCGGACTGGGCTTTCAACAGAGAGTGCCATCTTGGCCCTTAAGCGAACCATTGAGTACTACACGGACAGAAAAACACCTCTGTAGGCCTATTTTCTAGACTTGTCGAAAACCTTCGATATGGTGTCCTATGAAATATTGTGGAGTAAGTTGATGAAAACCGCGATACCTCCTGAACTTGTTACCATGTTCGAGTATTAGTAAAAAAATCAAATAAATAATGTCAAATGGGCAGATATGTTTTCCGATCCGTACAGGATAGAATATGGGGTGAGACAAGGGGGTTCAAGCTCACTGAACTTGTTCAGCCCGTACATTAATGACCTAATCGGTGAGTTGAGCAGCATGTATATCGGATGCTATGTAGACGGAGTATGTTTAAACAATTTAAGTTACGCAGATGATATGGTGCTACTCGCCCCGTCTGTTAGTGCTCTTAGAAAATTGTTGCGCATTTGTGAGAATTATGCTGTTGGTCATGGTTTAGTATACAATACTAAGAACAGCCGGTTTATCGTATTTAGAGCCGGAAAAGTGTCCAAAGAATGTGCCTCCTATTTTGCTTAATGGTCAGTACCATTAATCCTACCCTAGGTAGATTAAAAGAGTTTAAATATCTAGGCCACTACATTACTGAAAATTGTAAAGATGATATGGACATCGAGAGGGAGCGCAGGGCACTGTCGGTTCTTGGTAATATATTGATTCGTAGGATTGCACGGTGCAGCAAAGAAGTCAAGATTACACTCTTTAAAGCCAATCTTTTTACCCATGCAGCTTGTGGACAACGTATACAATGCACGCTTACAGCGACCTTCGTTTTATATAATAACTTTTTCATGGCCCTGTTGGGGCTGCTTTGCTTTTGTAGCGCATCAGGGATGTTTGCAGAAGTATGTACAGTTAACTTCTTCGCAATAGTGCGTAGAAGAGTGTACTCCCTGTTGAGCAGAATGCGTGGTGGCTGCACAAGTATTATGAACATGTTCGCCGAACGATGTGAGGGGCATATGCTAAATTATTGGAACGATTTGTTAAAAAGTGTTCCAGTTTTCCTTGACACTGAACGAATTTACGTCACCACGTCCGAATTGCACATTTGAAGAGACACTAACTATTTGCTAGGTGAAGGATGTACAAGCATGTTGTATTTTAATTTGCTTACGCATACATCGGCACCGTTCCCGTACACAAACCTGTGCATAAGGTGGGTGGACCATGGAAGACTATGCTCCTTCTAAGGCTAACTATTAAAATGTCGTAGTTATTGCCATGTGATGACAAATTCCTTCTACTTACACAAACACCCATCGAACTGAAAATCACAGACGCGGCGGCGAATCGCTCGCGGTACTATTTTGGCAGCGCTTCATTGATTTCGGGAATCGACGACGTTAAAATGAGGTGGGTGTATCATGGAAGGCCACTCTAACAAATAAACAGTTATTATTCGTTTATTTACTGGATTAATGAAACTAACAAATATTTAAGTAATACTTTGTTTTATTACGTAACATATAAACCACTTCTTTTTAATGTAGATTTAATCGCTATTTATTAAACTTTAGTGTTAAATGACTGATTTATTATAATGGCCTTCTATGAAGCCTTGTTCCTAGCAAGGCCATTTGGAAGAGTTCAATGAAACTTAAGTTCAATCAATATTGATTAAATCTGCAATTTAAAAAAGTGGTTTATATGTTACGTAATAAAACAAACTGTTTATTTGTTAGAGTGGCCTTCCATGGTACACCCACATTACATATTATCTAGAGTGGGCAACGTGTGAAGCTAGGTCATGCGGTCGTTTTCTGATTTATAATTCACAGGAAATAACGTTTCTTCTTATGTATCATATAGATAGTAGGCTTCTTCGGTTATGTACTACATAAACCACATTTATACGCTCTTGTCTATAGTTACAAGCTATTTGCAGTACCTGTACCTGACACTGTTGTCTGTCGCCGCGCCGGTCGGAATATTTTATTCCGTCTGGCGTAAACGGGATGGTTATACCGCCATTTTTCGAAAGCTGTATGATTTTTGACTCAATTAATGAATCCACAATTATGATACACAGGTTTCTGGATTCTTGTACACATTAGGCAACACAAAATTGTTTATATTTTTGCAACTTGTACTAAAGTGTGGATCGAAGTTGCTCTTAAAAGTATTATTATTTTTGATACTGACTGGTGGAACGAAGTGGTGTAGAAAAATATTATTATCTTTATCCTAAAGATAAACACAGGTAGATCAAAGAGGAAAAAGGAGAAAAAATTTACTATGGATCTACCTGTGGATCATATTACTGGCATTTCCCAGAGTCGCCATTACAAGACCCAAATGGGTAGGTTTAGACACTCCAACGCCTGTACCGTACGTCGTTTAATATAACGTCCCGCAAGGTATGGGTCCGTCCGACGGGAATGATTATGCTTTCACAGAACACCGGTGCAAAATAGCAGCGTAATGTTGTTGTCTTTCATATGACGAGTAATGAGAATTTCTTTTTAAGGACGACAACGTATTTGCATTTTGATAGCGAGGGACTCTGTGCTCTTTTATCACCCTTTTAAAATAGTCCATTGCGATTGCATGGATTCTATGACTTGGGTACACATTAAAAGACATATAACTTTGTTGAAGATTTATTTCAATATTTTAGAAAGTAATACATTTAATAATAATGATCACTTACAGAAACCCTTTTATAATTTTGTAAATATTAATTAACATAAACCTAAAAATAATGCCGCTTTTTTCATTTTTGCGACAAAAATACCTTGTTTTTTTAATTAGCTTTCAGCTTACACAATTTTGCCTACTTGGCTTTGGCTACTACTTTTAATTCCCTGTTACACAGATACTTGAATATTTGAGTATTGTAAACAAATATTTACGTCATATTAAATTATGTACTTTTTTCTCGATATTTTTAATAAAAAATGTATAAGTAAAGTTACAACTTATATGCTACTGCTGGGCTGATCTCTAATTCGGAGAGGATTTTAGGCCAAGAGAATGCACGTGAGAATTATATTTTTAAATTTCTTAGACGTGTAGGTTTCTCCATGTAGTTTTCCTTCACAAGCGAGCACGTCTTAAATCTGTGCTTCAATTTGAATGCCTTTGCCTCCGATGGTGCCGAAGAGAACAACGGCTCGACTTTTTATTATTAGCAATGTAATATTACCACCCATTCACTTCAATTTAGCAGTAAGACCGCGGGCAGAAGAGGTCTAGCATATGAGAAAAGCACAATATTTTTATATTCTTCCTTAAATACCTACTTTTGTTGGTAACCTTTGTTAAAATATATTTTTTTTTAATTTTTCGTAGAAATTTATTTCAAAAACGAGATAGGAATTTATTTAAAGTATTTATATTTGCGTATGGTTTGCATTGTAGGTAGGACGGCCTAGGCACTTAGGTACGATAAATAGTATATTATAGACTTAGAATTATTCAAAGATTATATATAGATATATAGTGCCAACAAGTAGGTATTAAAAAGTATCATTTAATGATATGAAAAAATATTTTTAAATCCAGAAATATCACACAATAATAAAATAAGAATTAAATATACTAATTACTACTACTTACAATACAACAATATCGGCTATTGGTAATTACAGCTTAAAAAAAGATATACAGGTTTATTTTGCAACAACCCGCCAAATTTGCAGAGAATGTTCAGAATAAAAACATAAGGCAAATAGCGAAGAAAAATTAATTAACAAATCTCAAACATTGTCTTTTATATCTTTTAAATTCAAAATACGTGGTAATGCATTATTTTAACTGATTTACTGCGCACGCACATATTCGTAAGGGTCGATCGGTAGGCAAAAACGTTGTTGCCAATAAATTGCATTCAATTTTGGATAATTTAAAAATGTAAAATTAGTAGTAGTAAGCCTTATTGACTCGTAATTTCAAAAACTGCAATAACACTTTATATTTGAACTTAAGTTTAAAATTTAGCTGCTCTTTGAAAAATAAACCGTTATAAACCCTGAAACTCTGCGGTTTACTGTTTTATATCAATGTAGAATTTATATCAATGTCGGAACAGCAATTCCGTTAAGTTTATAATGAGGCTCAAAGTAGTGAGGAGATCTGAGTATGTTTTATGTACAATTCAGTTAATAATAAATGTAAAGATTATATTATTTAAATAAAAATGCAGTTATCATAAAGAGAAAAATGATACAAACAAAAATTTACCTTTAGTGTTACGAAGCTGTAAAGGTTCAACGTAACATTAGTGGATGCTTTGCATTTCATATACTATATTACCGTTATAGTATATTAAAGTCCACATTGCCTCATATTTTCCACAGTTGCCACGCTTGGCAGGAAGACGTTGCTGCCCGTTTCCCTCTGTCGCCTCTTACGAATCCCACGGGATCATATAGGACTAGTGGATGTTCTTACACCGCCACTACATGGTAATACATTATATTAAGTTAAACAAATCGATTATTTAACTGTTTATTTATCTATATTCATTTCTAAATATAAAAATTAATTGATGTCCGTTGGTCTCCCAAAAAGAAAAAGGCTCGACCGATTTTTTATTAATTTTTTGTGTGTATTTGAGTTCTGGATAGTTTAAAATTTCAGTTGGTCCCGGTAGATGGCGCTGTGGTCGAGATAAAGAAAACACTCGTGTAAAGCCGGGGAAAAGTTACTAAACATGAGATAAACAAGAATTTTAAGCACCTTACTTGAATTTATAAAAAGAGCCCACACCCATTTTAATTATTAATAAATTACAATAATGATAAATAAACTTCCAAACAACATAAACATGTCAACATTTTATATGACAAAAATCACTTCCAATACTTTTAAATAGGTACACACAATTAATTAGTTCATGAGTTCATGACTTTAACATGATGATGTACAAAATATGCAATCAAATTAATAACTTAAATTTAAAAATATAAAACCTTGTTGTTATCCACCAAAAAATGTTCTTGCAAGATTGTGATAACCGAAGAGAATAATCTCGTTCTAAATCTATCTAGTTTTATATTTGTTTAATTCGCAGGTTTTGGATCAATAACCTAGGCTTTTGATCAAGAACCGGAAGAGGACAAAATTATTACGTTCTTATCATAAACCCGAAAAGTTCTGTTCTTTGATGAAAAACCTGAACTTGTTTAGGTTTATGATAAAATTTAGGCTTAGGTAGGTTAAGTAACACTAAATCGGTCTAGTTTTTTTTAATCAAAAAACTGGATTATCTCAGGATTATGATAACATATAGTAGTCATGTTTTCTTCTTCCGGTTCTTGACAAAACCCCAGGTTTTTGATCAAGAACCTGATTTTACCATTGATATCCAGTTCTCAAACCAACAAATAATTTCAATACGAGTATGGAAATTACTCTCTGGGGCGTCTCAAAGACATGTATATTTAAATTTTTGAGAAATAAAAGTATTTATTATTATTATTATTATTATTATTATTATTAAATGAATAAAGGCGTATTGCTGCGTTTTAAAGTGCCGCAAAAATCAAGACAAAACCATGCTCAACTTATTTTAAAAACAACACAACATAATATGTTGTGTGAGTCTAGCTGTGGACTTTTTCTAGTTGTAAGTATAGAAAGAAATAAAATAGTTGAGCATGGTTCTAGTTTTTTCCTTTGTTGGTCTAAGTATAATACATACAAATTTGAATTTCTTTATATAATACAGGGATGTAACTAAAAGAATCTACGTATTTTAAAATTAGTTAACAAATACTTTAAATACTTAGGTTACAGAAATACCATACGTTGCTAATTTACATTTTTATAGAATTTTTGTTTTATTTGACATTTCATGGATTTCGATTTAAAATTGTTATTATAACTATTATAAACCGGCAACACTTGAAATCGAACGTCGGGTCTTGACCACGTCACCAAAAAAATACGGATAGCACATTTTTGTACCACGGCTTTGGTGGTTCTGGTAGGTTATACTCCGAATTTGGTTTAGGTTCGGTGTCATCGATAGGATCTTCAACAAATATATTGACTAGAGATGACTTGATACCAAATCTGAAGAATGCTATGTATGGGAAATATTTCATGAGTAATAAACTGAAAAGGAAATTTAGATTTAAGTACAGTTTGCCTATATATGTTGAATAAAACGCCGCTAAAAGGTTGTTCACGGCTAGTTTGTATTTTGCCGCAAAAGACAGTTTTTTATATTCCGGGATGGACTCTATAGTGTCGTAGTCTCGTAAGTATAGAATACGGGGCGGCCGCGACGGTAGTCCTTCCAACGCTGGTTTTAATGTTAGAGTTGATGAATCCACACCTGAAAAATAAATTTCAGCTTGTCACTAAGTATCCATACTAATATTATAAATGCGAAAGTGTGTTTTTTTGTTTGTTTGTTTGTCCTCCTTTCACGTGGCAACAGAGCGTCGGCATGGCATGAATTTTGGTATGGGGATAGTTCGGTGGCTGTAGAGTGACATAGGCTACTTTTATTCGCGGAAAAACATCTCATTCCTGTGGGAAAATCGAATATGTTGCACAAGTTTGTTTTTGCATTGTAATTCACAGAATAGGCGATAACCTCGCAGACGATATTAAGTAATCCGTTGATGCTCTGCCTACCCCGCAAGGGTTACAGGCGTGATTATAAGTATGGATCAGAAATACTATCACCACCTGTCACGCTTTCACCCTTAACTATTACTTAACTGTAGTAGAAACAGTTCTTAGTAAGCCTTATTAATAAGCCTTAGTAATATTTATTGAACGGAAATGAATACAGTTCTTATATGTGGTTATGAATGAATCGGTATTACAATAAGAAAAGTTGTGCAAAAATATTTTTTGAGAGTTCTTATTAACTAACGTAACTTATTAACTACATAGTTTAAATTGATTCCGCTAGATGTTGTTACTAGGTATTTAAAACGCGGTAGCGAAATGTTTTCTGACATGCACTTAACTCCCGCCGTTGAGCTGCGCGTCAACTTATAGTGCTTACGGTACCTATACGCAGCAAAGGCTATTCGAACAAGCGGAACGTCAGGCCGCCTTAAGTGCCGCGGAAACACCTGATAAAACTCAACACAGACTCATTGGGCAAGCTGAACAGACGCGAAGAGATGAAAATGCACAGCTCCAAGCCGAAAAATTTTCAAAGAAACAATTGGTCGGTTTTTAATGACGCAGCATTCAATTATGATCCGTTGATTGATTATAAAAATCACAGGTTAGTTGTTATTGGACTGATGGACAAGGCGTGTCGATTTTGCAGCGCTTTAAAATGGAAAGATGAGACCGCAGGCATGTGCTGTTCCAATGGCAAAGTGTCTCTTCCGTTACTTGGGGAAACTAAAGAACCTTTGAAAACTCTCTTTTTATATGATGCTAATGAGTCACGGCGCTTTTTAAACAGGATCCGGAAATATAAGTCATGCTTCCAAATGACGTCCTTCGGAGTTGACCGGGAAATAATAATGCCGGGATTTTCGCCTACATTTACGGTGCAAAGGCAAATTTATCATAGAATAGGTTCACTTTTTCCAGCTGAAAACGAACAGCATAAATTTTTACAATTATATTTTATGGGTGACGAAGAAATTGAGGTAGACCGTCGCTGCCAATTTATCCAGGTAGTTGAGAGAGACACAGTGTTCAAAATTCAAGCAAGATTCTTGCATGAACCTAACATTTTAGTCAAAACATTTAAAACAAAACCTACCTGAAGAGGATTATAAAGTCGTCATTCACGCAGATTGGACCCCTCGAGGAGAGCATGAAAGGCGCTACAATGCACCTTTGATAAACGAAATAGCAGCCGTAATTAGTGGTGATCAATTTTCTTCACGAGACATTGTCTTGCGAGCACGTGATGATACGTTGCAACGGGTAGCCAATACACACAAGTTTTATGACGCTCTGCAATACCCATTGATTTATTGCAAAGGACAAGAGAGTTATCATTTTCAAATTCCACTCATTAACCCACAAAGGAGGTCACAAGGAGCCTACTCCGAACAAAAAAGTATCGTGTATGGATTTTTATGCGTATCATATGATGTTGCGAGAAAATGATTTTAACCTCTTAGCCCGGTGTAGACAATTATTTCATCAATATCACAATCACTTTTCTTTTTAGATGCCCCTGGAGGAAATGGGAAGACATTTTTGTTAAATTTATTATTAGCGCAAGTACGGAAAGATAAAAACATTGCTGTGGCTGTAGCTTCCTCCGGTATAGCCGCCACGCTGCTAAGCGGGGGCCGCACTGCACATTCAGTTTTAAAACTCCCTCTAAATCTAGCCCAGGAAGAATCGCCGATCTGCAACTTTAGCAAAAATTGCACGAGGTATAATGCTACGACAATGCAAACTTTTAGTGTGGGACGAAATTACAATGTCTCATAAAAAAGCTGTAGAAGCACTAAATCGAACGCTCCAGGATTTGCGCAGCAATACCGATGTAATGGGAGGAATGGTGGTTTTACTGGCTGGTGACTTTCGCCAAACTTTACCTGTCATTCAAAAGGGCACACCAGCAGATGAAATTAAAGTATGCCTCAAGTCGTCTATTTTATGGAACAAGGTGACAAAATTCAGTTTAACTACGAATATGAGAGTGCATTTGTATAATGATATCAATGCTGGAAACTATGCTGACACACTATTAAAAATTGGCGATGGGCGGCTGGAAACGGATGCTGAGGGCTGCGTTAAATTGACGAGAGATTTTTATAATTTAGTACAGAGTCATTCCGAATTAATTGCGAGCGTTTATTCAGATTTTACGAACAACATGCATGAAGACAAATGGTTATGTGAAAGGGCGATTTTTGCAACAAAAAAATGAGAGCGTTAACAAAATAAATTCAGATATATTAAGCGAAGTAGCAGGAGAAATAACAGAGTATTTGTCAGTAGACAAAGTTATGGACACAGAACAGAGCACTTCATATCCCGTAGAGTTTCTAAATTCTCTAGAGTTGTCAGGTGTGCCCTCACATAAGCTTCAATTAAAATTAGGCGTCCCAGTCATGCTAATGCAAAATTTAGATGCTCCTTGGTTATGTAACGGGTCAAGGCTACGTGTGACACATCTTGGACGGAACATAATCGGTGCTACAATTTTGACAGGCGTAGGAAAAGGTGAAAATGTTATTATACCACGGATCCCTATAATTCCCACAGATATTCCTTTTCAATTCAAAAGGTTGCAGTTCCCTATTAAGCTCAGTTTTGCAATGACAATTAATCAAGCGCAAGGGCAAACGTTACAGGTAGCGGGGGTCAACTTAGAAAAACCGTGCTTCTCTCATGGTCAGCTTTATGTAGCATGTTTGCGTTGACACACGCGAATACCGAGATGCCGAATGCCCAGAATCTCCACATTCTTTCCCCGAATGGAAAAACATATAACATTGTGTACAGTAGCGTCTTAATATAGTGTTCAGTTAGTTTTTTTTTTCAAAATTCCCACAGTCAGTAAATCAGAATTCCCACAGATCTTCCTTTTCAATTCAAAATTTCCTATTTAGCTCAGTTTCTTTTCAATTTCAAATGCTGCACCTCTGACGGACCTATTAAGCACAGTTTCCTTTCAACTCAAAAGGCTGCATCTCTGACGGATCTTTTATTTGGCTCAGTTTCCTTTCAATTCAGAAAACTGCATCTCTGACGAATCAATTTAGCTCAGTTTCTTTTCAAAAGTCTGCATCCCTGACGGATAATTATGCTCAGTTTCCTTTAATTAAAAAAATATCCCATTTCCATTGGAATAAACAGGCTATTTTCATGCTTTCCTATACGCTGCGTTTCAAAACATTTAAATAGGCTGACGAATCAATTTTGCTCAATTTCCTTTTAATGGCTGCATCTCTGACAAATCTATAAAACTCAGTTTTCTTTCAATTCAAAAGCCATGGATAGTTCATTTCCCAGTGACCCATGCGGGCGAAGCCGCGGTTTTCCGTTACAGCTGTACGCTTGTGGAACTCCTTGCTTTTATATATTCGACGTGCTCAGTCCCTTTTTTCCTTCAAAAATGTACTCAAAACTTATTACCTGGAACTCTAATATTTCTCACCATAATTCCCCTCCTAAAGTGTCATCATCTTGTGTGTATCTGCCCTATTTGCAATTCACTGTAAGCAACAGTTCTTTACTAAACAAGGGTTGTCTGGAAGAAATCGCTTCCAGAGCAATAAGACCGCCTGTGGTACTTTCTATAAATATTTCATTTTGTCTCTTTCTTATTTGTATTAGTGTACAATAAAGAAAATATTGATTGATTGATTCATATTGTCTCTTTCTTATTTGTATTAGTGTACAATAAAGAAAATATTGATTGATTGATTCATATTGTCTCTTTCTTATTTGTATTAGTGTACAATAAAGAAAATATTGATTGATTGATTCATATTGTCTCTTTCTTATTTGTATTAGTGTACAATAAAGAAAATATTGATTGATTGATTCATATTGTCTCTTTCTTATTTGTATTAGTGTACAATAAAGAAAATATTGATTGATTGATTCATATTGTCTCTTTCTTATTTGTATTAGTGTACAATAAAGAAAATATTGATTGATTGATTCATATTGTGTAATCTAGAAATTAGTAGAATTAAGCGGCTGGTTCTTTTCGCACTTAAGGGCTAAGTATAGCCATTTAGCGAGGTAACGCAGCAACCGTTCTGACTTATAAATATAGTATATATACTGGATGGTTTTTTTACCGTCTGGACGAAATAGGGTCTAACAGGTGAACTAAATAGAAGCCTATGGCACTGATATTTTACAATTTATTTTAATTTTACATGAACATATTATGAAATTTATCTATCAATAAATATTACTAATTAGGTACCTACGTCTTATTTTAATTTCAATAGTATTAATTTATTTAATTATTTAGTTCCAAAATTTTGTTATTATTTTTTAGTACCGAAAGTTTATTTCGAACTAATAGTATTTATTGATAGATCAACTTCATAATATAAGTATGTTAATGTAAAATAAAAAAAATCCCGTGTTACACCTCCGTTACAAATCCGTTCACCTGTTACACCGTATTTGTTTTCCAGACGGTAAAAAAACCATCCAGTATATACGGCGGAGCACTATACCGCGGGGACTATCACTGCATGATAATTTAAGTTTTCACTATCAGTTTTAATTTTTGTTATTATGTTTGCTGAATCCACTTCTATACAATAGAGCGAAAAAGAGTGGCCTATCTGATGCGACGCGTGGGGGACAGTACCAACGTCCCTATGTACTGTATTGGGAAGGCATGATTGTCCGGTTGTGCTGCACTGGAACACTGCGTATATGAGGTCCAGAACTGTTATATTTAATATAATGTATGTAATGTATAAAATATGTTTCGCATCCATAGTCTTCCTGTATTATAATGTTTGTCAATTAATAACATATAAAGGTGAGTAGTGACTTACCTATATCATCAGATTTGCCTTTCAACTGTTCGCGCAGCTTCCTCTGAAACTCTACTCTTTCGGCTTCTGTGTATATATAGCCCGGTACGTCAGCCAAATATCTGGTCCAGTAGAGAAAGGCGGTGGTATTGACCGTTGGGTTCACTGACCACATGCCGTCTAGCATCACCCGGGCCATGTGCTCGAAATACTCTGGGACGTTATCCAAACAAGGCGTGAATACCCGATCGAGCAGTATCTTGCAAACTTGATGTGTTTCGTCGACGTTCTTTCTACATATGTTATATCTGTGAAATTGTTTATGGTGACATTAATTTATCAATAAAGTTGTTTGTCGTGTCGTGGTAACGTTAGAGATTTTATCCCCCATTTCTCCCGAACACCCCGTCGATTTGGTAGTAGGCGACTATGTAAAATGCCACTCGAAATCATTAAAGTAAAAATGTACATATTATGCACAAGAACCGTGTACCACCGTATAGTGATGATGTGAGAGTACCCACTATCCCATATCATCCCGCGGGTGTCTTAAGAAGTGACAACGGGAAACAAATCAGGAGATAGGCAGCAGCGTCTATTAATAACGGCTACAAATTAATTTTATACGTGGTAGAGCCATCCTGCAGTTATATTAGTAGTATAGTTATAGCACGAATGGGTCGGCTCGACCGGGGAAGGATCACGCTCTCACAGAATACCGGCGTGAAATAGTATATGTATTATAGTATAGAATATAGTGTGAGTGTAGAGAACCGGAGACCCTTTTTACTGGAAACGAGGCATTCCATCTCAGTCCTCACGGGTGACAACGGATCTGCATATTGATTTTTAATGGAGGATAGATGTAGTTGTCTATGGGCCGCAGCAACCACTTACCATCAGATGGACTGTGTGCTCGTTTGTCACCCTACTCTATAAAAAAAATAATATCAGGCCTATCTCATTCCCGCTTTAGACATGAAAATATACCTACGCTATGCGGTCGCCTACAACAGGATAATTCAGTAAGGTGGTCACTACATACATTTATCCTCAACTAAGGATCAAAATGCAAATGCGTTGTCACCCCTGATACTAAGATGAAATGCCTCGATTCCAGTATAAAGGTTTTCAGGTTCTCTTACTTACTTATCTTCACGCACAATCCTTAACGGGGTAGCCAGAGAGAACAGATCGCCAAGTGTCACGATTTTTACATACCTCTTTCGCTTCCTTCAGGTTCATTAACTTCTTCATACATGCACGTCTAGGTATCCGATACTCTTGACCCTCCCCTCTTCGAGCAATTTGCTCATATGGTCTTCGAAAGTTAGTCTCGCTCTACCTCGACACCTTTTAATATTTACTTTCGCTCTATATATTTTCTTCACCATTCGGTCTTCACTCATTCGTTCAACGTGCCCAAACCATTGGAGTACGCCCCTATCAATTTTTGTGATAAGGTCATCTTTCAATCCTGCCATATTGCGAATCTCTTCGTTTCGCTTTCGGTCGGCTAAGGTAACGCCACACATTTTACGAAGAGATCGCATCTCCACTGCATTCAACTTGCTTTTATGCTTCTTCTGGCATACCCAGGTTTCGCTGCCATATAACAAAGTCGGTACCAACACTGCATTATGTATTGCAAGGCGTGCACTCTTCACCACGCCTTGCCTTTTTACTAATGCATTCAGGGCACCATTGACTTTGTTTCCGGCAGCGACACGCCTATCCACATCTAAATCACATCTTCCATCCCGGCTGAAAGCACTCCCCAAGTATACAATTTCATTTACCTGTTCTAGACATTCCTGATTTACCCATATTTCACATTTCGTTCTCTCTTCGTCCTTTTCAAATACCAGAACCTTAGTTTTATTAGCATTCAAACGGAGACCTTTAATTTCACATTCCTCTTTCATACACGTGACTAATGCCTGCAGTTCTGCACTGCATCATCAGCATACAGCAGACAATTAACTTTTATGTCACCCAATTTCACACCCAAACAGCTATTTTTCAGCTTCTGTAAACAGCTGTCGAGATACAGTATGAACAGCCAGGAAGACATGACACAACCCTGTTTTACGCCCGCTTGGACGCTAAACATGGGCGACAGGTCATGCCCTACCCGCACACAGGCTTTACAGTCATAGTAAAGTGACTGCACAGCCCTTAACAATCGACCATCCACACCATATCCCGGCAACAGTTCCCACATTTTCTTCCTTATAACCTTATCAAATGCTTTCTCCAGATCCACAAAAGCACAGAAAATCTTCTGGTTAACACTCAGAAGCTTCTCCGTGATCATGCGGAGAGAAAACATTTGATCCGTGCATCCTCTTCCAGGTCTAAATCCGCATTGTGCCTCCCATAAGAATCTTTCCGATTTCTCTTGCATCCTACTTGTCAAAACCTTCGAGTAAACTTTACTTGCTAAACTGGTCAAGCTGATCGCCCAATAGCACCCGCAGTCAAAATGTGAACCTTTACCTTTATATAAAGGCACAATGACCGCGGATCGCCAATCATCCGGGACATCTCCCGTCCGCCAGCACAAATTTCACAGCAGATGGAAGCTGTCCCAGACGCGAGGCCCACCGTACTTGACCATTTCAGCAGTAACTCTGTCTAGTCCCGCAGCCTTACCACATTTCAAACTTCGAATCGCACGTTCAATCTCTTTCATGCTGATGACCTCAGTGTCATCGAGGTCCGTGTCTGGCGTGCCAGTCACGGCGTCACCCCCGGATCCTTCACTAAGATCATGACACGCATATATTTCTCTATAAAATTCACTCCATCGCTGCATGACGTCCGATTTTTCTGAGAGGACGTCATTGGTTCTCGAAAGCACTTTGTTCATTCTTAAGGCTGTCGCACCACTCCGGGACCTTCCAACCTCTTTCCAGAAGAGTTTGGAGTTTTCCCTAAAGTTAGCGACAACCTCTCGTCCGCTTCTATTCTACACCTTTCACGTACTTCCTCAATCAATGTTTTCGCATGAACTTTCTGCAGCTTATATCTTTCTTTCATCTTCTCTCTCATATGCTCATCGTTACTAGAGGCCAAGTAGTCTAACCATGCTTTTTTCTTCTTTTTTTACAGCTTCTCTCACTTTATCATTCCACCATGCATCTCTTCTTTTACTACTACCTCTTTTTGTCGTACCACATACTTCTTCCGCTGCACTTACCATTCCATCCCTAAGGTTCTGCCATGTTCTCTCCAAACATTCTTTCCTGCCATCGATGGTGTCAAGCTTTTCGGCTACCCTCGTGTGATATTTGTCCCTAGTATCCGCTTCCTGAAGCTTCCAGCTTCGGATGCGACAGCTTCTCTACACGCACCATATGAAACACAGCAGCATTACACTGCTATTTTACGCTAGTATTCTGTGAGAGCGTGGTCCTGCCCCAATCGAGCCGACCCATTCGTGCTACAGCTATAATATATGTAGCTGTAACGTGGCTCTACAACGTAAACTGCAGCGTGGCCCTACCACGTAAAAAATTATATTACCTACTTCAATGTTCGACGCTTTCAACTGTAAAAAAAACTGACCGAGAAGAAAGAAACATAAAAAAAAACATAAAAGAACATTTACAACAAAAAAGGACGACTGACGCTATCGGTTGCGAGCACACTGCACACTCACATAATATTATTTTTATACTAGCTTTTTACCCGCGGCTTCGCTCGCGTGGGCTTGAATTTAGAAACATTGATAATACTATTTCATACTAAAATTTGCAAAACTGGATCACTTGTAGAGACACGTCGTTATCTGTGTCTATATTGGCAGTATTATAGGCTACAGAAACACATAAGTCAGTTTATCAGAATCGCATAAATATAATAAGTCAAGCAACACATTTTTTATATCGGACACGTCTTCCGATGTGTCTATATGAAGGGGAAATTGTCCTGGAATCGGAAATACGTTATTTACGAGTACATAATATTCATTATTAAAGTTGATATAGTTTTGATAAAATAAGGTTTTATTTCACGATCTTTATTTATATTGGTCCCATTGAATACTGATTACCCACTACAGTATTTTTAAAATTTAAAATTTCATAAATGTAGTTCTATTCACGGAGAAAGTGTGAGAAGAACTAAATTCATGAACAGGAGTAGAAATCTACATAAGATGGGCAGCAGCGTCTTCCTGATCATAACTTACAATAATAAAAATTGCAGTTGGCAACTCTATGCGAGTTTGCAAGCGTGGCAACTATGGCAAATATCCAACTTTATGGCAGTTTGTGGAGTGACATGACTTTGCCTTGACAATGACTCTTTTGAAGGACCTGGACCACCAGCGTTTACATACCGGGACGTTAATGCGTTAGCCCAGGCTTGGTAGCACTCCTAATTATTACGTACACACGTATTAAATTGCATTGCATCATGCTATAAGCATGATGCAATGCAATTAGGAGTAAAAATCTCGTAGTGCATTTAATTTTCATTATACTCATATCGGACTTGATACAAAAAGAATTTGGTGAAATATTGCTATGCCGATAGGTAGACACATAACATATTCAACTAAAGACCTACATAAAAATAAAAAACAAAAAACTAAATTTAGATCATACAGGTCATCTAAACAACACTTTAATATTCTATACGACAGTAATAAAATTTATGAAGTAGATAACTATAAATTTTTAGGAGTAAATATTGATACACATCCGAACTGGAAAGAGCATATTGATATCGTTTGTAAAAAGCTTCAACGTTTTGCTTTTGCTTTAAAAAGTGTCAGGCAAAATATATCAATTGAGGCTGCTCTCACCGTGTACCATGGCTACGTATAATCGGTGCTTACCTATGGGATATTGCTTTGGGGTAACTCTGTTGAGGTAGAAAAAGCACTTTTAGTTCAAAAACGATGTATCCGTGCCTTAAGCAACATTTGGTATTTAGATAGTTGTAAACCTTACTTTAAAATATAATATTCTTCCATTACCTTGTTTATATAACAGAGGAGCCTGTATTTTTGTCAAATCATTCCCTAAGTATTTGAAACCCGCTAAGATACTACAAGGCGTTTAAGAAGTAAATATACAGACCTAATATATCAACCTTCCTGTAATAAAGATATGTATAAGAGAAATGTACATCATGAGCTTATTATTGTTACGCGCTCAAGTCGACGGCACTAGCGCCATCTAGTCTCGAACCGAAGAACTAAACTTCTTGAAGTTGAAACACGAACTATCGGTACCTTGCGCGTGTTTACTTGAATATTCTGGATATTTCGCTGCTAATTTATATAAATAGGCGCTGC